TCCTCTCTATCAAGAATGAGAACATCCTCATCTCTGAAAGAGTGACCGCTGGCCTGTAAATGAGTGAAAACTGCAGAGTTCTGGCCATTAGATGTAGCTCGTCTGTGTTGGGACATTCTTTTGAACAGTGGCTGCTTTGTTTCCCCGATGTATAACTGGTCGCYGTCCTCCTGGCACTTAACAGCATATACAACATTGCTCTGTTTGTGCRGGGACACCGGATCTTTGGGGTGAACCAGCCTTTGCCGTAATGTGTTTTGGGGTTTGAAAGCTACTGGGACATCAATGTTTAGAAAATAAACGTCTCAGTTTCTCCGAAACACCCGCAACATACGGAATAACCACTGGTTTGGGTCTGGGTTTGGGGTCTTCATTTTCACCTGAAGGTTGCATGGAATCCTGTCTGTGTTTCCTGTCTGCTTTCAGGAAAGCCCAGTCAGGATAGCCACACTGCTCCAGGGKCTGTCGTGATTTCTCTTTCTCCCTGGAACAATCTTAGTTCAAAACTCTGATAGGATGGTGGGCGACATGCATTCATTTATAAAAATGCTAGGCCTTTAATGCATTTAGATCAAACTCTTGTGTGGTCAGAGTCAGCGTTTTGCTCACRAATAACTGAAAGCACTTGGAAGGAAAACTGATCCCCTTACAACAGGGGGCCTCTTTGTTCCAGATCAGATTTCTCTGTTCAACAGTCTGACTCACCAAAAAAAAAAGGTTTAGTGACTCAGTGTTACTTCCTGTAACCCAAGCCTGCCCGCAGAGACCCCCACAGCAAGAAGACCTGACAGAAACCTCGCCGAATCTGAGGCACGCTGTCATTTCAGAGGATCTGTGTTGTGTTGTGATCAAACATCTGGACCAGAATCCCCACAGGTTTGATCTCATTGTTTAGCCCGACTGCGCAGGAGACACAGAACGAAACGTGTGTCTTGTTTAATGACCTCTACCGAAAGGTTAGAGGCGAGCCTGGTTTTGCTCGTGTCTGTGGATGAATGTGTGAGTGTCTGTTAGCAAATTATCRCATGAACCACTGGACTGATCTRAYTYAAAAGTCTCAGAAATGAATCATTGGACGCACATTTACGACCCAACATAGGACAGTTTTACAGCTACTTTGCTATAATGTAATAATCATAAACAACACATGCTCCATGAAAGGCAGAAWCACATAAAACAAAAGTATTTTTTAACCAAAATGACTACAACTGTCCATTTTTAAAAATGTCATTATATTAGCATATAAACATAATCTTAGTTTAGTCTCTGGGATTAAAAAAAACATTTCTTCAACACAAATTTCTGAGTCAGCTCCTTTCAAATCAGCGCGGTCTCATTTTATGTAATCTCACCTTTAATGATGATGATTGACTTTAAGTTATAGCAATTTGATATTATCTCATCCCATCATGTCTATAATCTTAAGTCGTTTCACATCACTTGACAACCAAAGTGGCCTGTTCGAATCCCGATGACCAGGGGTCGGCGTGTAGGTCTCTGGTCGCGCCGTCCCAGACACACCAGGTTTGTCGTAGTTGGATCAGATTGTTACACCCCAGGATTCACTTGGAGACTCCACCGACTGACGGGGTCCACCAACAAAGATCACATTCAGTGTCGAGAATCCACTCTGAAGGATTCGCCATCACAGTGGATTCAACGTTTTATATCTTCCATCCAGGATAATAAAATCTCCATCTCCTGTTGTTGTTTTTTTTTTTGGACTGATGTCATCCCATTTACCTAATTTCCCTCTGGGATCAATAAAGTATTTTTTTTTATTTGATTATGTGTTTGAAATCAGCTGAAAGCAAATGTGAACAGGTTTCTCGAAGGATGTTGAGAGGAACTGCTGCGTTGCCGTGGCGGTGATGCAAGTCAACATGAGCTCAGAACACAAAGCAGCTTACTCATCTGGGTTTGTTTGCTCTTTTGGTCAAAAAAAAAAAAAACTGTGGTGCAACGCACATGAAACAATCAGGCCCACCATCTTTTGTAAACAACTGATTCCACATGTGATTCGCATGCTCATCTGCTGAGTCACTTTCCACTGCTGCCTGAGGTGGATCTGCTAAAACCGCACAAATCCCGAGGAAGAAAAAGAAAAAAAAAACTTGAGGAATTGATTGTTTAATTGCTTAGAGATTAAAAGTGACTCAGTATCTCCTGTAAGAACTATTTTTATCTGACGTCACGCCCATGACTGAAGCAGCTTGCAACACATTTTTTCTTTCTAATTACGTTAAAAAAAGTTGCAGTGAGTGGACGCTCGTCATTGTTTCGTCACTTATTAACCACGAGTGATGGAGTAAAGATCAACCTCATCGTGAGTCTGACTCTGCGTGAGGGCTTCTGTTTGTGTGGGCTTCCTCTTTCGACTCTTTCCCCCCCACTCTCTCTCTACTGAAATCAAAAATAGCACCATAAAAAGAAGCATCACAAAAGCAAAAGTGATTCAGTAATGAGGCTGCTTTTGACCTAAAATGGACATTGATAACATTAGAGATAGGACACACAAATGGCAAAAATATTCTCCTGTTTGGAGTTTTAAAGACTATATTTCACATTTCTTTTTACAGTTTGTTTTGTCAACTGAGATTAATCATAAATCAGTCAATGTTACACAAACTGGATATAATTCAGCTCATTTCACAGAAACTGAGCTATAATTTGCTATCATGGTAGCTGAGAGTCATTCACATTTACTCTGAGAGTTCCATCTTGTGATCCCACATGACTGAACATAACATTTTCACGATTTAACCAAAACAACAGTCACCTGAACGGATTGTGCATTTCTGCTACACCAAAGGAACTCATGAGTTTCTCAGCTTTTTAAGGGAGATTTCTTGTTTGACCTGATGCGACCCAAAGTTTTAAAGTTCATCTGTTCTGAAACTTCTCATACCAAAAAACATGAACTGAAATGATTAAAAGCAGCGGCCTAATAAGGCTAAAGGCTAAACATATTTATCTCTGTTACTTAATTACCCAGAATAACTTGTGACGTTCCTGACTGCATTTAAAATAAGAGAAATCCTGTGACTGCTGGGCTACAACTCTGCATATTTCTCTCAGGAATGGAATGCCACTGTTGCTTCCAAAGTCAGACGGAGGAAGAGGAGGAGGAGGAGGAGGAGGAGGAGGAAAGTCTGTGTTTTCCTTCTGTTGCTGCACATTTTTGAATACCTGGCAGTGCAGACCTGACTATAAAAGGGTCCGCTCACAGGAGGAGGTGGGGGTCACAGACTGAGCGAAAACAACAAGAGAAAGCACGTTTTCTGTCAAAAAAAAAGCAGAGTGAAAGCTGAGCACTGGATGACTTTGCTGAAAATTGCTGAAGAAGCTATAATTTATTTCTAAAAGCTAAAACTGGCAAAAGATCAGCTAAAAGCTCACCATAGAGAAAACCAGCAAAAGAACTAGCTATCTGAATGTTGACTGTGCTGAAAATTGTAGTTGTTACAGATAAAAGAAGCAAAACAATAGCTAAAAACTAAAATCGTGATATTTTAGCTGAAAGTAGCTGGACAGTAGCTAAAAGCTAAAAATTAGCAAAACACTGAAAGTAGCTGGGTAGTAGCTAAAAGCTAAAAATTAGCAAAACACTAACTATAAGCTGAAAATAGAAATGTTTTAGCTGAAAGTAGCTGGACAGTAGCTAAAACCTAAAAATTAGCAAAACACTAATGATAAGCTAAAAATAGAAATGTTTTAGCTGAAAGTAGCTGGAGAGTAGCTGAAAGCTGAAAATGAGCAAAACACCAACTATAAGCTAAAAATAGAAATGTTTTAGCTGAAAGTAGCTGGACAATAGCTAAAAGCTAAAAATTAGCAAAACACTAACTATAAGCTAAAAACAGTGATATTTCAGCTGAAAGTAGCTGGACAGTAGCTAAAAGCTAAAAATTAGCAAAACACTAACTATAAGCTAAAAATAGAAATGTTTTAGCTGAAAATAGCTGGACAATAGCTAAAAGCTAAAAATTAGCAAAACAATAACTATAAGCTAAAATAAGTTGCTGAACAATAGTTAAAAATATAAGCAGAACATTAAATATAAGCTAAAAGCAATGATGTTTTAGCTGAAAGTAGCTAAGCAAAAAGCTGAAGATGAGCAAAACAGTAGCTGAAAGGTAAAATAATTAAGCACCACCTAAAGCTAAGAAAAAAAACATGAGCTAAAAGCTAAAAGGAGCTAAATGCAAGCTGAAAGTTAAACTACTGAAAGCTAAAATAAGGAAAAACGTTGTCTAAAGGCTAAAAATCAAGGGCTAATACTGGCAAATGGTAATAGAAAAGATAAAAACAAAACAAAACTAGCCTTAAGCTAAAAAGGACAACTCAAGCTTCAAATAAAAAAGAAGAAAAATGTTTAAAGTAGCAAAAGGATATCTAAAATCAGCAGAATGGTAAGAACAAAAAGAAACAAGAAGACACAAAAAGATTTGATTTAGCAAATTTAAAAGAGAACCATATTTCTGAAGGAACATCTTTGTATTTCTTTGTAGGAAATAGGCCTATGTGTAAATGTAGTTTATATTTTGAAAAGTATAAAAGTTACAAGTCATTTTGAGCTTTAAATACTGTATTTATAAGACTGAAAGTAGAATGAATCAGTGATCAGAAAAAAGATTCAGAAATATGGAGTTTATCCAACATGAAGAGATTAGTTTTGTAAAGTAAGCAA